ACTATGCATGCTCTCTGCCAATCCCTAGGTACCTTACCCTCTTCCATACATTTATTAAATAATTGCACCAACCACTCCAAAACTATATCCCCACCTGCTTTTAACATTTCTATAACTAGAACTACTAAATCATTTTTCATATTCCATTTGGCCAAGATCTACATTATTACTTAATAAATACAATAGTTATTTTCTATTATGATTAAAAACCTTTTGTCTACACTGGATGGCATCTGTCACCTCTCCACCCACAACAACCTATCTAAGTCATCCTGTGACTTTCTAGCATCCTCAGTAGAAATTATCTGATTGCCTATTTTAGTTTCATCAGCATATTTTCTTGTCACTATTCATTCCCTCATCTATGTAATTTATATATCTTGTGCATAACAATGGTCCCAAAAACTGACCCCTGCAGCACACAACTTGTAACAGGTTGACATTTAAATTTTGCCTCATTAATGCAAACTTTGTGTCACCTGTTTGTCATGACTCAACCCAGAAGATAATTAACAATATTTTATTACACACAAACTGCATTTTGTATACTGCAGACAAGAAATAAAGTTGTGTTGTATTGCATATCATTTGCTGCGAAGTTTCTTCTTCAATCTCTTATGTGGAACTTTATCAAAGGTCTTACTGAAGCCCATATACACAATACTGTAAATCTTATCTTGGTCTACCATCTTAAGTACCTTAGTGAAAAAGGTTAGTCAGTTCATCAGGCAAGAATGTCTCTTTGTAAAACTACTGACATTCAATGATAAAATTATATCTTTCAAATTGGATCCGCAACCAAGTCCAAGTTCCCACAATTGGTCTATAATTGAAGCTAAAATATCTCTTACTTTGTAAATAAGTATCACACTTGCAATTTTCCACAATCCCAATATAATACCCATTTGTAGTGACTGTGTTGAAGAGACTAACTAATGTTTACTTAGTTCTTCTTTACAGTCCTTTAGAAGCCTTGAAAACAGTTCTAGAGACCAGGTGACTTGTTAGGCTATGGTTTATCTAGTTTTACATGTATGAGCAGTTGAAATTTCTCCTCGTTGAACTTCATATTGTTTTGAGTGGCCCATTCGAAGATTTGGTTAATGTCCACTTGGAGTCTTGCGGTGTCTTCGATGGAGGTCACTGCCATGGTGATCCGGATGTCATCCGCAAAGGAAGACACGGAGCTGTGGCTTACATCTCTGTCTATGTCAGAAATGAGAATGAGGAAAAGAATGGGAGCGAGTACTGTGCCTTGTGGAACAAAGCTTTTTACCGTGGCTGCCTGGGACTTTACCCTGCTTACTATTACTCTTTGTGTTCTATTTGTCAGGAAGTTATAGATCCATCTACCAACTTTTCCTGTTATTCCTTTATCACGCATTTTGTGTGCTATTACACCATGGTCACACTTGTTGAAAGCTTTTGCAAAGTCTGTGTATACTACTACATCAAGGTACTTCCCTGCTGACCAACATACCATTACCAGCATACCATCATCAAGGTACCTCCCAGCTGACCCTGAGGATCAACACCATCATCAAGGTACCTCCCAGCTGACCCTGAGGATCAACACCATCATCAAGGTACCTCCCAGCTGACACTGAGGATCAACACCATCATCAAGGTACCTCCCAGCTCACCCTGAGGATCAACACCATCATCAAGGTACCTCCCAGCTGACCCTGAGGATCAACATCATCATCAAGGTACCTCCCAGCTGACCTTGAGGATCAACACCATCATCAAGGTACCTCCCTGTTGACCCTGAGAATCAACACACCATCATCGAGGTACCTCTCTGTTGACCCTGAGAATCAACACACCATCATCAATTAATTTTTATAGTGGGCTAGAAGAAGATAAATTATGTAACATCACAGTCACTAGTGAAATGGTTGTGAAGCAGATAGACAGACTGAAGCAAAATAAGTTGCCGGGTCCTGATGAGGTTTTTTCAAGGGTTCTTAAGGAATGCAAAATGGAACTCTGTGAACCATTAACTAATATTTTTAATTTATCTCTTCAAACAGGTGTAGTGTCTGATATGTGGAAGACGGCTAATGTAATTCCTATTTTTAAAACGGGACAAGTCGTTACCGTCAAATTACCGCCCAATAAGCCTGACCTCAATTGTAGGCAAATTACTAGAGTCAATTATAGCTGAGATTATAAGAAGCCATCTCGATAAGCATAGCTTGATTAATGATACTCAGCATGGATTCACAAGAGGCCGGTCTTGTCTAACTAATTTATTAACTTTCTTCAGTAAAGCTTTTGAGGCCGTTGACCACGATAAAGAATTTGATATTATTTACTTAGATTTTAGTAAGGCTTTTGATAGAGTTCCGCACCATAGACTGTTAAAGAAAGTGGCAGCTCATGGCATTGGGGGAAAAGTGCTCTCGTGGATCGAGTCATGGCTCACAGACAGGAAGCAGAGAGTGTCCATAAATGGGTTAAATCCGAGTGGGGATCTGTAACAAGTGGCGTTCCACAGGGATCAGTCTTGGGCCCGTTGTTGTTTATAATATATATCAATGATCTTGATGAGGGAATTACTAGTGATATGAGCAAATTCGCCGATGACACAAAGATAGGTAGGATAATTGATTCAAACGTAGATGTTATGGAATTTCAGGAGGATTTAAACAAGCTCTATTCTTGGTCAGAAAAGTGGCAGATGCAGTTCAATGTAGATAAATGCAAGGTTCTGAAGCTTGGGAGTGCCCATAACCCTAGTACTTATAAGTTAAATGATGTAGAACTTAGCCATACAGATTGCGAAAAGGACTTGGGGGTTATGGTGAGCAGCAACCTTAAACCAAGACAGCAATGCCTAAGCGTACATAATAAGGCAAATAGATTACTGGGATTTATATCAAGAAGTGTAAGTAACAGAAGTCCAGAGGTCATACTGCAGCTTTATACATCATTAGTAAGGCCTCACCTAGATTATGCAGCTCAATTCTGGTCTCCATATTACAGAATGGACAGAAATTCGTTAGAAAACATTCAGCGTAGGATGACTAAATTAATATATAGCATTAGAAATCTTCCTTATGAAGAAAGATTGAAGACTCTTAAGTTACATTCACTTGTTAGACGAAGAATGAGGGGAGACCTGATCGAAGTGTATAAGTGGAAGATAGGTATTAATAAAGGGGATATTAATAAGGTCTTGAGGATGTCTCTCCAAGAGAGAACCCGCAGTAATGGATTTAAATTAGATTAGTTTAGATTTAGAAAGGACATAGGAAAGTATTGGTTTGGAAATAGGGTAGTTGATGAGTGGAACAGTCTACCTAGTTGGGTTATTGAGGCTGGGACTTTGGGTAGTTTCAAATTTAGGTTGGATAAGTACATGAGTGGGAGGGGTTGGATTTGAGAGGGACTTGCACATCGGAGCTTGTTTCTTGGGTGGCATTGAAAATTGTGTTGGGCAAATGTTTTGTAAGTGGGATGAATTGTAAAGGACCTGCCTAGTATGGGCCAACAGGCCTCCTGCAGTGTTCCTCCTTTCTTATGTTCTTATCAAGGTACCTCTGTTGACCCTGAGGATAAACACCATCATCAAGGTACCTCCCAGATGACCCTGAGGATCAATACCATCATCAAGGTACCTCCCTGATGATGCTTAGAATCAACACAGCATCATCAAGGTGCCTCCCTGCTGATGCTGAGGATCAACACCATCATCAAGGTACCTCCCTGCTGATGCTGAGGATCAACATCATCATCAAAGTACCTCCCTGCTGATGCTGAGGATCAACGCCATCATCAAGGCACCTCCCTGCTGATGCTGAGGATCAACATCATCAAGGTACCTCCCTGCTGATGCTGAGTATCAACACCATCATCAAGGTACCTCCCTCCTGATGCTGAGGATCAACACCATCAAGGCACTTCCCTGCTGATGCTGAAGATCAACACCATCATCAAGGTACCTCCCAGCTGACCCTGAGGATCAACACCATCATCAATGTACCTCCCAGCTGACCCTGAGGATCAACACCATCATCAAGGTACCTCCCTGCTGATGCTGAGGATAAACACCATCAAGGTACCTCCCTGCTGATGCTGAGGATCAACACCATCATCAAGGTACCTCCCTGCTGATGCTGAGGATCAACATCATCATCAAGGTACCTCCCTGCTGATGCTGAAGATGAACACCATCATCAAGGTACCTCCCTGCTGATGCTGAGGATCAACACCATCATCAAGGTACCTCCCTGGTGATGCTGAGGATCAACACCATCATCAAGGTACCTCCGTCCTGATGCTGAGGATCAACATCATCAAGGTACCTCCCTGCTGATGCTGAAGATCAACACCATCATCAAGGTACCTCCCTGCTGATGCTGAGGATCAACACCATCATCAAGGTGCCTCCCTGCTGACCCTGAGGATCAACACCATCATCAAGGTACCTCCCTCCTGATGCTGAGGATCAACACCATCATCAAGGTGCCTCCCTGCTGACCCTGAGGATCAACACCATCATCAAGGTACCTCCCTCCTGATGCTGAGGATCACCACCATCATCAAGGTACCTCCCTCCTGATGCTGAGGATCAACACCATCATCAAGGTACCTCTCTGCTGATGCTGAGGATCAACACCATCATCAAGGTACCTCCCTCCTGATGCTGAGGATCAACACCATCATCAAGGTACCTCTCTGCTGATGCTGAGGATCAACACCATCATCAAGGTACCTCCCTCCTGATGCTGAGGATCAACACCATCATCAAGGTACCTCTCTGCTGATGCTGAGGATCAACACCATCATCAAGGTACCTCCCTCCTGATGCTGAGGATCAACACCATCATCAAGGTACCTGGCTACTTATCACACACGTTATATCAGCAGTATTAAGCCATCATTATCCTCCACCATTAATCAGCATGACACTGCTGGTCTTAACAACCAGTGATTCTCACAAAAACTTCCTGTAAACACTAACAAGAGAGTAATTAAAGGTTAAATATGATCACCTTCCCAGTCCAGGTCCAGCGACGCCATCTTTGTTTACTATCACTTCGGTCATATACTTTTATAATGTTTTATTGCTCAAAAATTATACACAATTTTCTATAACCTCTTTCATGTACATTTAGGATGTTATATTGCTCACAATATGGAACTCTTTATTTATAAACATATTGAATAATTAATAAAAAAGTCTTGTGGGAAGATTTATAAAGATGTTTTACCTTATTGATCATGTGAGGAGGTTACCATGGCAACATAACAATTATAGAGGTTACCATGACAATGTTGGTCCATGACACTTATGGTTACCATGACAATGTTGGTCCATGACACTTATGGTTACCATGGCAACATAACAATCATGGTTACCATGGCAACATAACAATTATAGAGGTTACCATGACAATGTTGGTCCATGACACTTATGGTTACCATGACAATGTTGGTCCATGACACTTATGGTTACCATGGCAACATAACAATCATTGTTACCATGGCAACATAACAATTATAGAGGTTACCATGACAATGTTGGTCCATGACACTTATGGTTACCATGGCAACATAACAATTATAGAGGTTACCATGACAATGTTGGTCCGTGACACTTATCGTTACCATGGCAACATAACAATTATAAAGGTTACTATGACAATGTTGGTCGATGACACTTATGGTTACCATGGCAACATAACAATTATAAAGGTTACAATGACAATGTTGGTCGATGACACTTATGGTTACCATAGCAACATAACAATCATGGTTACCATGGCAACATAACAATTATAGAGGTTACCATGACAATGTTGGTCCATGACACTTATGGTTACCATGGAAACATAACAATTATAGCGGTTACCATGACAATGTTGGTCCGTGACACTTATGGTTACCATGGAAACATAACAATTATAGAGGTTACCATGACAATGTTGGTCCGTGACACTTATGGTTACCATGGCAACATAACAATTATAGAGGTTACCATGACAATGTTGGTCCATGACACTTATGGTTACCATGACAATGTTGGTCCATGACACTTATGGTTACCATGACAACATAACAATCATGGTTACCATGGCAACATAACAATTATAAAGGTTACCATGACAATGTTGGTCCATGACACTTATGGTTACCAAAACAACATAACAATCATGGTTACCATGGCAATATTGTTCTATGACACTCATGGTTACCATGACAAGGTTGCCATTGCAACATAACACTCATGGTAGTTACCATGACAACACAGCACTTATAGTAGTTACCATGATAACGTTGCAATGGTAACATAACACTCGAGGTAGTTACCATGACAACACAGCACTTATAGTAGTTACCATGATAACGTTGCCATGGCAACATAACACTCGAGGTAGTTACCATGGACAAACACACTTATAGTAGTTACCTGAAATTGCCGACATAAACACTCATGTAGTTACCAGGGCAACATAACACATTCCAGGGTAATTTTCCATGGCAACAAACACTAGGGAGTTACCATGGCAACAAACACTATTAGTCATAAGTTCCATGGAACATAACCTCAGGGAGTTACCATGGCAACAACACTTATGGTATTACCATTGGCAACATAAAACATGGTAGTTACCATGGCAACAAACACTTTCCATGGATTTCCATGGCAAACATAAACACTTCAAGTCAGTTACCAGGGCAACATAACACTCATGGATTACCAGGGACATAACGTTGTCCATGGCAACATAACACTCATGGTAGTTACCATGCAAAAAGCATTAGGTTATTTAAAACCCAATGGCAACATAACACTCGAGGTATTTTACCATGCAACACACACTATGGAGTTTCCCCTTTGGACAACATAACCTCATGGTATTACCATGGCAACATAAAAAATCTTTTAGTTACCATGAACTAACGTCTGGGTTCCATGACATAAACTCAGGTATTTAAACATGAACATAACCTTTGTATTACCATGGCAACTTACTCATGGTAGTTACCATGGCAAAACACTTGGTAGTTACCATGGCAACATAACACTCATGGTAGTTACCATGGCAACATAACACTCATGGTAGTTACCATGGCAACATAACACTCATGGTAGTTACCAGGGTAATACACTATGGTAGTTACCATGGAACATACATATGGTATTTACCATGCAACTAACACTCATGGTAGTTACCATGGGCAACATAACATTATGGTAGTACCATGGCAAAAAACACTATGGAGTTACCAGTGGAAACAAGCTCATGGTAGTTACCATGGAAATAACGTTATGGTATTAAAACGTATGGAAACCCAAAATAACCTCATGGTGCCCAGTTCCATGGCAACATAACACTCATGGTAGTTACCATGGCAACATAACACTCATGGTAGTTACCATGGCAACATAACACTCATGGTAGTTACCATGGCAACATAACTCATGGTATTTACCATGCAACATAACGCTCATGGAGTTACCATGGCAACATAACCTCAGGGTTACAGGGAAATTTAGGTATTTACTTGGTTAAATCTGGAGTTAGTGGAACTAAGTTTTTTGGTATTTAAATGGTGGTAGTTTGGAAATAAATATGGTATTTTGGTAGTAGGGTTATGGAAATAAGTGGTAGTTCTGGTGTAGGGTAGTTACATGGAAAAATTGGTATTTAATGGGTCGGTAGTTATGGAAATATGGTAGTTACTATGGAAAAATATGGTGTTAGAAATGGTATGTTATGGTATTTAAGGGGGAAAATCATAGGGGTTATTGGAATATAGGTGGTAGTTAAGTGTGGTAAGTTATAGTTGGTAGTGGTAGTGGTTTAAGTGGTTAGGGTTAGAAGTGGTGTATTTGGTAGTAGTGGTGGTGTAGTAAGTGGGGGTTTGGTGGGTAGAAAGTGGTGGTAGTTGAGTAGTGGTGGTAGTGTGGTGGTATAGGTGGTGTGGTAGTTTGGTGTAGTTAGTGGTAGTAGTGGTGGTATGGTGGTGGTAGTAGAGGGGTAGTGGTAGTAGGGATGTAGTGGAGTGTAGTATGAAAGTGTGGGTAGGTGGTATGTGGTTTGGTAGTTGGTGGACATTTAGTGGTAGTAGTGGTAGGTAGTAGTGGGTAAGTGGTGGTGTAGTAGTGTGGTAGTTGGTTAGTGGTGGTAGTAGGGGTTGTAGTAGATGGTGGTTGGTAGTAGGGTGGTATTGGTGTGGTAGTGGGTGGTGGGTTGGTAGGGGGGTGGGGTAGGAATTTGTTTTTGGGGTTGTAGTAGTGGTGGTAGTGGTGGTGGTAGTAGTGGTGGTAGTGGTATAGTGGTGGTAGTGGTAGTGAGTGTGTGGTAGTGGTGGTGGAAAAGTGGTGGTGGTGTGGTAGGGTGGTGGGGGTAGTAGTGGTGGTAGTGGTAGTAGTGGTGGTAGTGGTGGTGGTAGTAGGTGGTGGTGTGGTAGTGGTGGTAGTGTAGTGGTGTAGTGGTGTAGGGGGGAAGTAGTGGTGGTAGTGGTGTGGTAGAGTGGTGTGGGTAGTGGTAGTGTGGTGGTAGTGTGGTGGTAGTTTTAAAGTGGTGGTGGTAGTAGTGGTGGTAGTGGTGGGGGTAGTATGGGGGTGGGTAGTACGTGGTAGTGGTGTGGTAGTAGTGGTGGTAGTGTAGTATGGAGGTAGTGGTGGTGGTAGTAGTGGTGGTAGTGGGGTTTAGTAGTGGTGGTAGTGGTAGTGTGGTGGTAGTGGTAGGTGGTGTAGTGGTGGTAGTGGGTGGTGGGAGTGGGTGGTGTGGTAGTATGTGGTGGTAGTAGTGGAGGTAGTGGAGTGGTAGTAGGGGTAGTGTGGTGGTAGTTTGGTGGTAGTGGATAGTGGTGGTAGTGGTGGTGTGTGGGTGGTGGAGTTGGGGGTAGTAGGTGGTATTTGGTGTTGGAGTAGTGGTAGAGGGTGGTAGTTATTAGTGGGTTGTAGGTATGGGGGGGAGTAGTGGTGGTAGTGGTATAGTTGGTGGTGGTTTGTGGTGGTATGGGTGGAGTAGTGGTGGTGGTAGTGTGGGTGGGTGGTTATTAGTGGTGGTGGGTAGTGGGGGTGGGTTAGTGGGGGTATGGTTGTGGTGGTAGTGGTGGATGGTATGTGGTGGTAGGGTGGTAGTGGGTGGTAGTGGGGTGGTAAGTGGTGGTAGTAGTGGTGGTGTTGGTGTTGTGGTGGTGGTGGGTATGGTAGTGGTTGGTGGTGGAGAGGTAGTGGTTGGGTGGTAGTGGGGGTGGTGTGGTGGTATGGTGGTAGTAGTGGAGTAGTGGATGGTGGTAGTAGTGGTGAAGGGGTGGGGGTTTGTGTGGTGGTGTGAGGTGGTAATGTAGTGGTGGGGAGTGGGGTAGGAGAAGTGTGGTGGAGTGGTGGTGAGGTGGTCAGTAGTGGGTAGATTAGGGAGTGGGTGGGGGAGGTGTGGTGGTGTTGGTGTGGTGGTAGTGGTGGTGGTTGTGGGTTTGTGGTAAGAGTGGTAGAGTGGGTTAGGAAGGGTGGGGTAGTGGGCTGACTAGATTTAGAGTCTTTGGTGGTGGTGTAGTGGTGTGGTGTAGGGTGAGGGGTAGTAGTGACGATAGGGTGGTATGAGAGGTCGTGTGGGAGGGGAGTGGTTGTGGGTTGGTGTTGGGTGGGGGTTAGTGGGTGGTAGAGAGTGTGGTAGTGGGAAAAGTTAGTGGTGTAGGTGGGGTTGGGAGGTGGTTGGTAGGGGTGGTTTTGGGGTAGTGGAGGGATAGTGGGAAAGTGGTTGAGGTGGTAGTGGTGGGGTTGTTGGTGGGTGGTAGTTAGTGGAGACTGGTTTGGGTTAGTTTTTAGGTGGTGTGGTTTTTGGGTGGTAGGTGGAGGGGAGGTTTGAGTAGTTGGTGTACTGTTATGTTGGAGGAGGTGAGTGTTGTATGTGGGAGAATTTGGTTTCGTTTGGTGGAGGTAAGTGGTGGTAGTCGTGGTGCGAGTAGTGGGTTTTTGGAGTGAGGAAAGTTAGTATGGGGAAATGTTGAGGTTATTTGATTGGGGTGAGATAGGGTGATGTAATGGGGGGTAAGGAAATGGGTGGGATAAGTGGTGGTATAGTTGGTATATGTAGGAGGGTAGTGGGACGAGGTATGGTGAGGTAGGTTGGTTAGGATGGTTACGTGTGGAGGTTAGTATTTGGTCTTGAGGTGGTAGAGGTTTTAGGGTAATGGTGTGTAGTGGTGTGTAGTTAGTGGTTGGGTGATTGGTGAGTGTGAGTAGGTAAGGATTAGGTGGTTTTAGTGGTGGTTTATGTGGGGGGTGGGGTGCTTTGTATGTGTGATTATGGTTTGTTGGAAGTGAGGTGTATGTATTGGGTGGTGGTAGTGGGGTATGTTTTGTGGTAGGAGTGGTGGTGGTTGGGGTGGTGATTGGTTGGGGGGCAGTGGTAGGTGTTGGTAGCATTGAGTAGTGGGTAGGGTTGGGTGGAGGAGGTGGTAGCGGTAGGGGTTGGCGAAGTGGTGTTGGAGTGGTGGTTTGGTAGCGGTGGTGGTGGCAGTGGGGGTGGTAGTTAGGTGGTTTTAGCCAGTGTGTGAGTGGTGGGTGGAAAAGTGGTGTGGTGGTGCGTGGTGGTGGCAGGGGTTTTGTGGTGGTACGAGGTGGTGGCAGTGTGGGGGTGGTTGGTGGTGTGTGGGGTGGAGTGGGGGGGGGAAGTGGTGGGTCCCGTGGTGGTGTGGGGTACGGGTGGTGGTAGTGGGGTGGGGTAGGGTGGTGGTTGGAGGGTGGTGGTGGAAAGTTGGTTGGTGGTAGCGTTGGTGTTGGTGATCAGTAAGCACCATGTTGGGGAGGACGGTGGTTTGGGAGGTGGTAGAAGTGGATAAACCGAGTCTTAATTTGGGAGTGGTGTTGGTGGTGAGATAAGTAAGGGACGTTGTGAGAGTGTGTTGGTGGTTTAGTAGGTGACGATGTGTTAAGTGGTTTTGGGTGGCGGTTAGAAAGGTGACGTTGGTTGTTGTGGTGTTGGTGGGTGTTAGAAAGGTGACGTGTAGTTAAAGGGTGGTGTTGGTGGGGTATTTTAAAGAGGTGACGTTGTGTTAGAGTGGTTTGGTGATGGGAGATAACAAGAACACTCATGGTCAAGTATGAAAACACCAGTCCTGGCACCACTAAGAAGAAAGATCAAGAAGAACAAGTAAGTAACTAATGTTTAATAATGTACACTTCTCATCACACCTGTCTTGTGTTCTCTTCAGTAACCATTGTTATTGATGCAACAACCAGACATTGTTATTGATGCAACAACCAGACATTGTTATTGATGCAACAACCATTGTTAGTGATGCAACAACCAGACATTGTTACTGATGCAACAACCATTGTTACTGATGCAACAACCATTGTTACTGATGCAACAACCAGACATTGTTACTGATGCAACAACCAGACATTGTTATTGATGCAACAACCAGACATTGTTATTGATGCAACAACCAGACATTGTTATTGATGCAACAACCAGACATTGTTATTGATGCAACAAGCATTGTTACTGATGCAACAACCAGACATTGTTACTGATGCAAAAACCATTGTTACTGATGCAACAACCATTGTTACTGATGCAACAACCATTGTTACTGATGCAACAACCATTGTTACTGATGCAACAACCAGACATTGTTACTGATGCAACAACCATTGTTACTGATGCAACAACCATTGTTACTGATGCAACAACCATTGTTACTGATGCAACAACCATTGTTACTGATACAACAACCAGACATTGTTACTGACGCAACAACCATTGTTATTGATGCTACAACCATTGTTACTGATGCAACAACCATTGTTACTGATGCAACAACCATTGTTACTGATGCAACAACCATTGTTACTGATGCAACAACCAGACATTGTTACTGATGCAACAACCATTGTTACTGATGCAACAACCAGACATTGTTACTGATGCAGCAACCATTGTTACTGATGCAACAACCATTGTTACTGATGCAACAACCATTGTTACTGATGCAACAACCATTGTTACTGATGCAACAACCATTGTTACTGATGCAACAACCATTGTTACTGATGCAACAACCATTGTTACTGATGCAACAATCAGACATTGTTACAGATGCAACAACCATTGTTATTGATGCAACAACCAGACATTGTTACTCATGCAACAACCATTGTTATTGATGCTACAACCATTGTTACTGATGCAACAACCATTGTTACTGATGCAACAACCAGACATTGTTACTGATGCAACAACCAGACATTGTTACTGATGCAACAACCATTATTACTGATGCAACAACCAGACATTGTTACTGATGCAACAACCATTGTTACTGATGCAACAACCATTGTTACTGATGCAACAAAACCCTTGTTTTCTGATGCAAAAACCCTTGTTACTGATGCAACAACCATTGTTACTGATGCAACAACCATTGTTACGATTCAACAACCCTTTTTTACTGATGCAACAACCATTGTTTTCTGATGCAACAACCAGACATTGTTACTGATGCAACAACCATTGTTACTGATGCAACAACCAGACATTGTTACTGATGCAACAACCATTGTTACTGATGCAACAACCAGACATTGTTACTGATGCAACAACAATTGTTACTGATGCAACAACCATTGGGTTTCTGATGCAACAACCATTGTTATTGATGCAACAACCAGACATTGTTACTGATGGGAACAACCATTGTTATTTGATGCAACTACCATTGTTACTGATGCAACAACCATTGGGTTTATTTATGCAACAACCCATTGTTACAGTGCAACAACCAGACATTGTTACTGATGCAACAACCATTGTTATTTATGCTACAACCAAATTTTTACTGATGCAACAACCATTGTTAATGTTGAACAACCATTGTTTACTGATGCAAACAACCATTGTTACTGATGCAACAACCATTGTACTGATGCAAAACCATTGTTACGAATGCAACAACCATTGTTACTGATGCAACAACCATTGTTACTGATGCAACAACCATGTACTGATGCAACAACCATTGTTACGATGCAACAACCATTGTTACTGAATGCAACAACCATTGTTACTGATGCAACAACTTGTTACTGATACCCAACAATCAGACATTGTTACCCGATGCAACAACCCATTGTTTTGATGCACAACCCTTTTTACTGATGCAACAACCATTGTTAACTGATGCAACAACATTGTTAACTGAAGCAACAACCATTGTTACTGATGCAACAACCAATTGTTACTGATGCAACAAACAGACATTGTTACTGATGCAACAACCATTGTTATTGATGCAACAACCATTGTTACTGATGCAACAACCATTGTTACTGATGCAACAACCATGTTTTGATGCTACAAACCCGATGTTATTATTGATGAAGGGTTTCCTTTGATGTTGGTGAGGCTCTTGATTAGGGAATTGGAAACTGTGCTCCAGTTCCCCGAATTAAGCCTGAATGTCTTCCACATTCCCCCCCCCAGGCGCTGTATAATCCTCCGGGTTTAGCGCTACCCCTTGATTATAATAATAATAATACAGCCATTGTTGCATTTTTTTTGTTGAAACAACTAAAACACTACACACACACACACACCACACACACAACACACACACACACACACACACACAACACAACAACACACACACACACAACACACACAACCCCTGCAACCTCAATTAGGTGAGTACACACACACACACAACCACACACAACGTGAAGTAGAAAGAGAAGAATTCACTCGATCGAAACCAGGCAGAACTACAAAGGGATCTGGACGGCCCGCAGACCTGGTCCAGCAATTGGCTCCTGGAGTTTCAATCCCACCAAGTGCAAAGTCATGAAGATTTGGGAAGGACAAAGAAGGCCGCAGACGGGAGTTTCAGTCTAGGGGCCAAAACTACAACCTCACTCAAGGAAAAAGATCTGGGGTGAGTATAACACCAGGCACATCTCCTGAAGCGCACATCAACCAAATAACTGCTGCAGCATTATGGGCGCCTAGCAAACCTCAGAACAGCATTCCGACATCTTAATAAGGAATCGTTCAGGACCCTGTACAACCGTGTACGTTAGGCCCATATTGGAGTATGCGGCACCAGTTTGGAACCCCCACCCTAGCCAAGCACGTAAAGAAACTAGAGAAAGTGCAAAGGTTTGCAACAAGACTAGTCCCAGAGCTTAGAGATATGTCCTACGAGGAGAGGTTAAGGGAAATCAATCTGACGACACTGGAAGAGAGGAGAGATAGGGGGACATGATAAAGACATACAAAATACTGAGAGGAATTGACAAGGTGGACAAAGACAGGATGTTCCAGAGATTGGACACAGTAACAAGGGGACACAGTTGGAAGTTGAAGACACAGATGAATTACAGGGATGTTAGGAAGTATTTCTTCAGCCACAGAGTAGTCAGTAAGTGGAATAGTTTGAAAAGCGATGTAGTGGAGGCAGGATCCATACATAGCTTTAAGTAGAGGTATGATAAAGCTCACGGCTCAGGGAGAGTGACCTAGTAGCGATCAGTGAAGAGGCGGGGCCAGGAGCTCGGACTCGACCCCCGCAACCTCAACTAGGTGAGTACACACACAAGATAACGACATACAAAATACTGTGAGGATTGACAAGGTGGACAGAGACAGGATGTTCCAGAGATGGGACACAGAAACAAGGGGTCACAATTGGAAGTTAAAGACTCAGATGAGTCAAAGAGATGTTAGGAAGTATTTCTTTAGTCATAGAGTTGTCAGGAAGTGGAACAGTCTGGCAAGCGATGTAGTGGAGGCATTAACCATGCATAGTTTTAAGACGAGGTATGACAAAGCTCATGGTGCAGGGCGAGAGAGGACCTAGTAGATATCAGTGAAGAGACAGGGCCAGGAGCTACGTCTCGATTCTTGCAACCACAAATAGGTGAGCACACACACACACACACACAACTGATTGTGAGAACCTGGAGCCACATGGGGGCCCAGAAATGTGGAGGCCTAAGATGATAGAGGTGGCACTGGAAAACCTCATGTTCTAACATGTAAAGGACACTACCAGAGAGGAGAGGATGAACCAGCAAAACTGGACCTAGTATTCACCTTGAGTAGTGCAGATATTGAGGACATCACATATGAAAGACCCCTCGGGGCCAGTGATCATGTGGATCTGAGCTTCGAATACATAGTACAGTTACAAGTGGAGAGGGAAGCAGGAAGGGCAAGATGAATGAAGCCAAACTACAAGAGAGGGGACTACACAGGCATGAAGAGTTTCCTGCACGGGGTTCAGTGGGACAGAGAACTGGCAGGGAAGTCAGTAAACGAGATGATGCAATATGTGACAACAATATGGAAGGAAGCTGAGGAGAGGTTTGTACCCAAGGGTAACAGAAATAATGAGAAATCCAGGATGAGCCCGTGGTTCACCCAAAGGTGCAGGGAGGCCAAAACCAAGTGTACTAGAGAAGGGAAGAAGTATAGAAGGCAAAAGACCCAGGAGCATAAGGAGAGAAGTCGTAGAACCAGAAATGAATATGCACAGGTAAGAAGGGAGGCTCTATGACAATACGAAAATGACATAGCACCGAAAGCCAAATTTGACCCGAAGCTGTTGTACAGCCACATCAGGAGAAAAACAACAGTCAAAGACCAGGTAATCAGGTTGAGGAAGGAAGGAGGGGAGGTCACAAAAAACAACCACGATGTATGTGAGAAGCTCAACATGAGATTCAAAGAAGTGTACACAGAGGAGACAGAAGGGCCTCCAGAAAGGCAGAGGGGTGGGGTTCACCACCAAGTGTTGGATGCAATTCATACAACCGAGGAAGAAGTGAAGAGGCTGCTAAGCGAGCTAGATACCTCAAAGGCAATGGGGCCGGATAACATCTCTCCATGGGTTTACCTGGAGAGGGTTTCGGGGATCAATGCCCCCACAGCTCGGTCTGAGACCAGGCCTCATGGTGGATCAGGGTCTGATCAACCACGCAAAACGACGTATGAACTACAGCCCGGTTGGTCAAGTACTGACTTTTGGTGCCTGTCCAGTGCCTTCTTAAAGACAGTCAGGGGCCTATTGGTAATCCCCCTTATGTATGCTGGGAGGGAGTTGAACAGTCTTTTGCCCCAGACACTTATTGTGTTGTCTCTCAATGTACTCG